GACGCCACGTCATTTAGAAGAAATACCAGCATCACGGAGGCTGGCGACTATGGAGGCGAACGCTAACCCAAAGGTGAGTTTAATGCTTTCATATTTCTGTAGTACATTTCATTTTGCGCCTGAGGTTTGATACATTATCTTAAAGCTCGATTTAAAACACGGGTTTGGTCCGTTGTTAATCTTACAGCATGTAGCGCAGGCATATAACGTCTCGCTACCTCCTAGCATCCAGCCCCTCCTAGCCTCCTAGCCTCCTAGCATCCAGCCCTTCCTAGCCTCCTAGCCTCCAGCCCTTCCTAGCCTCCTAGCCTCCAGCCCTTCCTAGCCTCCTAGCCTCCAGCCCCTCCCCGCTGTCCCTCACCCAACTTCCCCCGTTTTATTTAAAAAAGAAAGAAACTTGGATCTTTAAAGAGAACTGATGGGTGGTTGTATCTTGTCTTGGGTGAAAACTAAGAAGTGACTGAAACAGTGCTTGGGCCATTTACATTCTATTCTTCAGGCAGTGATGGTGAGTGGTTGATAGCTGGTGCTAATGTCACAGGTGTCAAACTCCAGACCTCCAGGGCCGCTGTCTTGCAGTTTTTAGATGTGCCACACTACAAAACGCTGGAATGAAATGGTTTAATTACCTCCTCCTTGTGTAGATCAGGTCTCCAGAGCCTTGCTAATGATCTAATTATTATATCCAGGTGTGGTGCAGCAGAGGCTCATCTAAAAGTTGCAGGGCAGCGGCCCTCCAGGACTGGACTTTGACACTCCAGGCTTATGTATGTCCATTTAGGACACAAATAGTGATAGTCATTAAGCATTGACTTCAGCTACACAGAAATTTTCTTCCAAAGGAATTTGGCATGTTTTAAAGCTTACTTTGTATTAAACACGTTTTTAAAAAATTATTTTTTTACCCTGATGTTACTTTGGTATTTGTTTTTGATGCACTAGCTCTTCAATTACCATATGAAATTTGAACTTTTTCCTGTAACTACATTAACTTATGTTTTTTTCTCTTAGACTGGTATAACATATGCGATGCTTCAAAGGCCTTTTCTCGCTGTGCAGACCATCTCCTCCAAAAACCTGCAACGGAGAACCCCTGGCTGTTGAAGATGGACTTAAGAGACAGAAAAAGACATGGCTCTGCATACTCATATAATCATGTATATTATTTGTACTCTCAATTCCTCTAGTTTTGTCAAAATCATATATCTGATTTTGACAAAACTAGAGGAATTAGAATAACAATGTTCAGAGTAGATACTTCATTTGTCCTGTACTGTTTGTACAGGCAGTTTTAAATATGAAACTGAAATTATTTTTATGCAAAATTTTATTGACTTGCATGAGTTCATCTATGCTTGAAGTATTACAAAATAAATTACCTAAGACAAACTAACTTTCTGATTCTTATGATGCCAGAAATTTAAAGTACTACAACAATGGACAAATGTACCTATTAGCTTCCTTTTGAGGTAAGAAAAAAACAATCAAATTATAAATTTTAAACACTTTAGTTCTGTAACAACTTCCATAAAAGCACTAAAATTCACATTTATGGTAACATAATCAGCATTTTCCTTTACATTTTATAAATGTGAAGATTTCCGCTCTTCAAAACAAGTCATGCTTTGAATTTAATCACAGACAAAATCCTGATTATGATTAGTTACCTATATACAGTCAGATGTTAAGCACAATTTATACAATTATTATACACAGAATTTAACTTGATTGAACATAATTACAAAAAGGTAACGTGAAAAATAATTAAATTCAAAGCATGATTCATTTTGTAGAGCGGAAGTCTTATTTTGAAGACAACTTTCACATAGTAAAAAACTGCTCACAAAACTGAACTGCAGCAATATAAATGTCACATTCAGAAGATGTGATGTGGCTTTTGGGTTTACTGCATTTCTTTAGGCTGCCATTTGTTCATCAGTCAGTTGCAAATTAGAGTTTGGTACTGTGACGTTTGACTCGTGAAGAGGAAACCCGCTGTCCTTCCATACAATTTCTGGAATTTGTACACCCTGGAAAACACAAAGATTTGCCAATTAATACAACAAAAATGACAAATTTTAGCAAAGCTCAAACATTCTTTGTCACCAAAAATATATTGTGGAGATACAAAATAGTGGGAATTTTAATTGCACCCGAGTCTTCTATAGACTAATATTGATGACTCAGCTACAATTAATAAAATTCTGTCGAAATTTTATGTAAATACAATATTGCAATAATAAAACAAAAACTTTTATCACCTCCTCTGTAAATTTCAAAAATATTTCTCCTTAGACTGGGACATTTTTTGTGTGTAGCATATTTAATATACAAAACATTTTAAAGTGCTTTACTTGACAAAACAGACACAATTATTAATTTATGATATTTAATCTAAAATTAGTTAGCTGACATACTTAGAAGCATGTTTTCTTCAAAATGAGTTAAAATGAACCGAGAAAACAAAGGGGATTGTTTATAGTGTTACTAGGTAACAGGACAACGTTTTGTAGCAATTAATATTCTATATCAATACTCGTCAGATAAGAAAAGCAGTATTTTGGATGATGTTATAATGACAATAAATGTATTGCTTCATTCATAAGTGAATTCTTCCGTACTTTACGAAAAGGATGACAATCTTACTGTGCTCTTCTCCCGTTAAAATTGTAGAAACTATATCAAACACAAGTAAATCTACAGTTTGGTAGGTAACTAGTATTTTTTATAATGTCGTAATGACAATAAATTCATTAATTCATTCATAAATGAAGTCACATTAACAGTACAGTAGCTGAACAGAATGGGGTTGTGGGTATAGTTAATGTCGGAAGTGTTCACAGCCCTTCCTTGAAGCTCACAAGACAGCCATATTAACTTATTACATTAGTTAATATGTAATAACTAATGATGCTTTCATTTATCCTCATTGACACTGTTCAGCCTGGGATGCGCGTCTTCTATCTGAAGCCTGTATGTATCTTTGCTAAGCCATGGTGGAGAGCAGTAGCATCTCCTGAAAAATTTGGACTTTACTAAGACCGCCTGTCTCAGTCTCACCCAAGACAAGATACAAACAACCACCCATCAGTTCTCTTTAAAGATCCAAGTTTCTTTCTTTTTTAAATAAAACGGGGGAAGTTGGGTGAGGGACAGCGGGGAGGGGCTGGATGCTAGGAGGCTAGGAGGGGCTGGATGCTAGGAGGCTAGGAGGGGCTGGATGCTAGGAGGCTAGGAGGGGCTGGATGCTAGGAGGTAGCGAGACGTTATATGCCTGCGCTACATGCTGTAAGATTAACAACGGACCAAACCCGTGTTTTAAATCGAGCTTTAAGATAATGTATCAAACCTCAGGCGCAAAATGAAATGTACTACAGAAATATGAAAGCATTAAACTCACCTTTGGGTTAGCGTTCGCCTCCATAGTCGCCAGCCTCCGTGATGCTGGTATTTCTTCTAAATGACGTGGCGTCTTGTGATTGGCTGGGTGTTGGAATCTGAGGTCCATTGCGCATGTCTGTGACCTGAAGTAACCTTGCCATTTTTAACAGCGAATTTTTAGACGTTGAATTTTTTACAGCGAATTTTTAGACGTTGAATTTTTTACAGCGAATTTTTAGACGTTAAAATTCAAAATTGTAAAACTCATTTAAATAAGTGGACACAGAGAATTATCTATTCTGGGAAGAATAGCTCTCACCAAAATAGAAAGTATCTCCAGACTGATATATCCTGCATATACATTAGGAATACCCACTTCAGCTATCAAATCCATCAATAGGATGAATTTTGATTTTATATGGAAACAGAAAACTCACTATATCAGGAAAGGTAATTTAATCAAAAGGTTTGAAGATGGAGGACTGCAAGCTATTGAATTTGACAGCATGAACAGTACTTTAAAAATGAATTGGCTTCGGTCTTTCCTAACAAACCAAAGGGCTTTATGGTTCCATATTCCGAGTAAAATATTTTCAAATGTGGGTGGAGTTAGTTTTCTTCTTAGATGTGACTTTGACGTTAAAAAACTACCTGTTGAACGTTCCTTCTTTCACCAGCAAGTTTTATTATATTGGAAGTTAATCTATAAACATAACTATAGCCCACACAATACTCCTCTGTGGAATTGCTGTTACGTAAAAATTAATAATAAATCAATCTTTATACATAATTGGCTAGAACAAGGTGTTTGGTCTGTCATGCATTTATTAAGTAATGGGAAGGTTATGTCTCTTGAAGAATTCAGTGGTAAATATAACCTACAAATAAATAAAAGTGTATTTCAAAAGATTATTAAAGCTATTCCCCCTAATATTTTATCTACAGCCAAATGTTTGTATGAGATCCGATTGCAGAACCGCTGAGCTTCCTGGTCTATTGATTAATGGGCTCAGTATCACAGATAAGAAATTGAAAAACAAAAAACTTCGGGAATGCTTTATTAGTTCTCTATTTCCGTTTATATCCAATCCAAATTTTATATCGCATTTCTTTTCAAAAGATCAGAAGGAAAAAATTAGAACAAATTATTTAAAGCTTCCCATTCCTTCAAAAGCCAAGGAAGTCCACTTCAAAATCTTTTCAGGCGTTTATCCTTCTAAGGAATTCCTTAGACTTCGATTTGCTATTGATGATAACACTTGTTTATTTTGTAATGGTGATATTGAGTCGACTGAACATCTTTTCTATGATTGTGTGTATTGCAAAGCATTGTGGGATGATATTCTCTACTGGCTTTTCCTAAAATCCCGAACTTACCGGACTTTTCCAAGAATGATATTATCTTTGGGACTATGAGAAAAGAAAAGAAATTTGAAACTCTGTTAAATGTCATAATTATTATGGGCAAGTTTTTCATACACAAATGTCGTTTCCTTAAAACCAAACCATCTTTCTCCTTTTTTCATCAGGATCTCTGCCACCTCTTCTTATTGCTGAAATTCATGAACAAAGGTCAAGATACAGAACTATATGATATGATAATCATCATGAAATTGCTGGAAAACACCCTAATGTATGTCTTTTTGTTTTGTTTTGTTATTTTTGTTCCTCCTTTTTGTCTGTATGGAAGCAGCTGAGATCGGCTTCATCATGTTTTTCAGATTTTATGTACATTTGAAGCCGATTACATGTTTAATGTATATGTTGATAATAGTAATAAAGAGTAAAAAAAAAAACTGTTGAGGAAATCTGGAAAAATTAACTGGGAAGGCATCCGAACTATAACTGGGTCGGGTAAAGTTCTGGACAAATGATCCTTGTTCAGGTCCCACGGTCCTGAGGGAACAGGAAGCCGTTCCCTCATCACTAACTTTATGGCTTGTTAAGTTTTATGGCACACTTTGACATAATAAGTTAAAACATTTGCAATTTTCATGCACAATGTCAAACCGGTTCTGTGACCCGGTTTCACTGACTGCAGGTTCTGGTGGGCAGGAGGTCCAAACAGGACCGGTTCCAACGGGTTGGTTCAGTTCTTCTGGCTCCAGAACCCGGACCTTAAAAACTGCTGAACAACCAGTGGTTCAGGTTAGATAATGGACAGCATTGGTCTCCATTAATTAGCCAGGCCCTTGGTGGGAGGGGCTAAAGTCATGTGATCAGAAACAACCAGACAAGTTTTTTTCTTTACATTTAGTGAAATCACAAATATACAAACTGAGCAGAAGGCAATGATAGAAAAACAGACGGCGGCCATTTTAGGCAACGACGTTCAAATCAGCAAGACCACAAAAAAAAACAAGGCAATGGCGAATGGAACCAATGACGGGCCCCGACTACTTCCCGGATTTGGCTGCGCCTCGGGGAATAAAGATGTTCCCAAGAGGAGCAATGGATGGCCTGATGGTGGCGCTGTGACCCGCAGGCAGCGAATCAGGTGCTAGAACCACGTCACCTGATCGATGGGGTCGCAGCAGCCAGGTCAGCTGGCTGAAACAGGAGGAGGAGATTCTGATGTCAGAGTTCACTTGAGGGAAATCGACCAATCAAAGGCAGTGCTGCAGCACAGCAGGGGAAGGGGCGGAGTCTGAAAAGCTGCGCCGTTGACCCTCCCCTGACCTGAGACACCAGGCACTCCGCCCTCTGGAGCGGTTCTGGACGTGATGGCGGTCCGTCCCCCAGGTGGGACACGAGAGAGATCGCTGCTGACGAACGTCTTCATCCTCCCACAATAAATAAAATCCATCACAAAAATAAATTAAAATAATAAATATCCCACCACTGTGTGTCTGTGTGACTCGGGCCGGGTCTACTTCCTGGAGTCTGGGCTAGGAGCTGTCAGCTCCAATTCTCCAGGTTTTGCAAAACCTGTATTAGACATCCCCCATCCCATTCGGTACCGGTCCAGCACTGGCCCGGTACCGGTCCGGTAGTGGGACACTCATTGGTAGGGGCATGTTGGAGCAAGGATGCATAAAATCTGGAGGTCTCTGCTGTAGACTTCAGGAATTAGACATGGCCCTCCCACATTGGAATCCCAGCGAATCACTGATCAGCTTTGAAATCTGCTTTTGAAAAGAGGCTCATCATTGGTGAGCTCGTTACCAAGGAGACAGAACGTTTCCTTCATGAAGTTCAGCAGGAAGTGGAGAAGTTTGGTGGAGGAAGATCTCTGAGAAGCTGCGGGTCTGGTTTAGGCGAGAACAGGAAGTGGGCGGAGCTGCAGATCTGATCAGTGATTGGCTGGTTTGGTCAGCTCAGACAACCAGTGGGGGCGAACAGTGGTGCTGGTACGCTAGTGGCTTCAGAACCCGCCCTCCATCTGGTCCTTTTGGGCCCAAACAGATGAAACGGCTTCAGCCGAGCTGCAACATTTCACAATGAGCACCTGGAGGCTACGGCCCGCAGAGGTCAGAGGTCATCCAGAGGTCATCTAGAGGTCACCGGTTCCACCTGTAGCCGTCTGCAGCTGCTGTTCCCAACCCGACCACCAGGTGGCAGCAGCTACACTCCAACATTTATTATCATTATAATAATTTAAACATTTATAAAAATTTGAATTTAAATTTTCATCCTTTTTCCCCAAACATCGGTTCAGAAACTCGATGTGGAACCGGACCTGAAGGGAGGAAGTCCACTGGGTTTCTGGACCCCAGTGGAAACGATTTAGCTGGAACAGAACCGGAACCAGATTCTGGTAGAACCAGCTGTGCTATCTGATATCGGAGAGCAACCGGACCTCTGAGCGGGCCAGAACCAGCGCTGTGATGTGTAAATGTTCCAGAACACAGACAGAGCGACTCTTCGGACCGAGCCATCAAACCCGCTGAGCTCCGGTTCCGCTTGTTAAAAAAGTACCAAATAGCCCGTTTGCATCTGCAGAGCAGGATTGTTGTGGCTCGGTCCGGGCCGGTCTGCAGGGTTCTGGGCCTGTCGGTACCGTCAGACTCAGATGTAATGTTCAGCTTTATACAAGTTCTGGTCGGTAAAGTCCAAAAGGTTCTGATTACATGTGAACATTTTGTTTAGATTTTATCATTTGAGCTTCATTTTTTTTTCATCTTTACAATTATGGCCACGAGTCTCAAAAGTTCTAGGAGTCCGGCCCGGTTCAGCTCCACTCCCTTGGTTCTGGACTGGATTTGGTCCAAGTCCGGTCCAGTCCTGAGGGAGTTCTGATCCGGTCTTTGCATGGCACTAGGTTTGTAGCTCTGCACAGTATTTCCCCACCGGCGCCGTTAGCTGTGTGTCCAGTTTAGATCGGGTCCAGATCCCAGGTGGTTCTGGTTCTGACCCGGACGGCGTCGCTGTGCTGGAATGTATTCAGAGGTTCTGTCCACAGTCTGGTTGGTCAGGCAGTGCGTCCTCCCGGCCAGCGGACCGACCAATGAGGAGCTGGGGGCGGGGCCAGGAAGCGTTGGGGCCAAACGGATCGGGCTCAGTGCTGCGCTGATTGTTCACAGAACCGGAACAGAACCGACACCTGACGTTCGTTTTGGCTCCGCCTCCTTCATTAAAGCTTCAAACTGTCCAGAATCCGATACATGTTCTGGATCAGAACCGGATCGCTGTGAGGTCCAGATGAACCCCGGTTCTGATCTGGAGGCCCGGGACGGGCTTCTGTAACTCTTCATTTTACATTCTGAGCTCGGGCTGTAGCGGTTCCGATCCAAACCGTCCGGTTCTGCCGTAGAACCTGTTGAGGTCCGGTTGGCTCCACGAGTCTCAGGAAAGGTTCTGCTCCGCTGGGTTCTGGGTCCAATCAATCCATCTGACCAATAAATCAATTGACAGATTGACTGCTGGTGATGCGGTCCGGTCCGGCTGTTCAGCAGAACCTCATCCTTCCCAAGCCCCGCCCCCTCATCGGTCCGGCGCCGGGTCTCAGCTGCTGCCGGACATCAGGTTGATGGCTTGCTCCAGTTTGTGTCTCAACTTGTGTTTCCGACAGTAACCGTCCCGGTCCAACGCCGTCAGGATCTGGAGACGCAGAGAGACGGAGAGATGGAGGGTTAGAGGTCAGATCAGAGGTCGCCAAACTTTTTTTTTTACGGTCAAACTTGTCAATTTTGCTGCGGCTTGAGGGTGGAGGGGGAGCATCAGATGATGCTTCTCCATGCTGGTGTTTCTGCTAAAGCCTGTTTGCCCCAATTTTTCCTTTACCACAGATTTACAACATCGTGTTGTGTAGGTGGTGTGTAGGTGGTGTTGTATAGGTGGTGTTGTGTAGGTGGTGTGTAGGGTAGGTGGTGTTGTATAGGTGGTGTTGTTGTAGGTGGTGTTGTGTAGGTGGTGTTGTGTAGGTGGTGTTGTATAGGTGGTGTTGTGTAGGTGGTGTTGTGTAGGTGGTGTTGTGTAGGTGGTGTTGTGTAGGTGGTGTTGTGTAGGTGGTGTTGTGTAGGTGGTGTTGTGTAGGTGGTGTTGTATAGGTGGTGTTGTGTAGGTGGTGTTGTGTAGGTGGTGTTGGTGTGTTGTGTAGGTGGTGTTGTATAGGTGGTGGTGGTGTGGTTGTTGTATAGGTGGTGGTGTGTAGGTGGTGGTGTGTAGGTGGTGTTGTGTGGTGTGTAGGTGGTGTGTAGGTGGTGGTGTGTGGTGTTGGTGTGGTGTTGTAGGTGGTGTTGTGTAGGTGGTGTTTGTGTAGGTGGTGTTGTGTGTGTGTGTAGGTGGTGTGTGGTGTGTGTAGGTGGTGTTGTTGTGTGTGTATAGGTGGTGTTGTGTAGGTGTGTTGTGTAGGTGTGTTGTGTAGGTGGTGTGGTGATGTTGTATAGGTGGTGTTGTATGGTGGTGTTGTGTGTGGTGTTGTGTAGGTGGTGTTGTGTAAGTGGTGGTGTGTAGGTGGTGGTGTGTAGGTGGTGTTGTTTGGTGTGTTGTGGTGGTGTGTGGTGGTTGTGGTGGTGGTGTGTTGGTGGTGTAGTGGTGTGTGTGTTGTGGTGGTGTTGTGTGTGGTGTGTGTAGGTGGTGGTGTGTGTGGTGTTGTATAGGTGGTGTTGTGTAGGTTTGTATAGGTGGTGGTGTGTAGGTGTTGTTATGGTGGTGTGTGTAGGTGTTGTTGTGTGGTGTGTGTGTGTGGTGTGTGGTTGTTGTGTAGGTGGTGTTATAGGGTGGTGTTGTAGGTGGTGTTGTGTGGTGTTGTGTAGGTGTGTGTGTAGTGGTGTGTAGGTGTGTTGTATAGGTGGTGTTGTATAGGTGGTGTTGTATAGGTGGTGGTTGTTAGTGTGTTTGTGTGGTGTTGTGTGGTGGTGTTGGTGGTGTGTAGGTGGTGTTGTATAGGTGGTGTTGTGTAGGTGGTGTGTAGGTGGTGTGTGGTGGTGGTGTGGGTGGTGGTTGTGTAGGTGGTGTTGTATAGGTGGTGGTGTGTAGTGGTGGTGTGTGGTGGTGTTGTGTAGGTGGTGGTGTGTAGGTGGTGGTGTGTAGGTGGTGGTGTGTAGGTGGTGTGTATAGGTGTGTTGTGTAGGTGGTGTGTAGGTGTGTGTGGTGGTGGTGTGTAGGTGGTGTTGTGTGGTGTGGTGTGTAGGTGGTGTTGTTGGTGGTGTGTGTAGGTGTTGTAGTGTAGGTGGTGTGTAGGTGTTGTGTAGGTGGTGTTGTGTGGTGGTGTGTAGTGGTGTTGTGTAGGTGGTGGTGTGTGGTGGTGGTGTGTAGGTGTGTGTGTGGTGGTGTTGTATAGGTGGTGTTGTGTAGGTGGTGTTGTGTAGGTGGTGTGTGTAGGTGGTGTTTGTAGGTGGTGTTGTGTAGGTGGTGTTGTGTGGTGTGTAGTGGTGTGTAGGTGGTGGTGTAGTGGTGTTGTGTAGGTGTGGTGTGTAGGTGGTGTTGTATAGGTGGTGGTGTGGTGGTGTTGTATAGGTGGTGGTGTGTGGTGGTGTAGGTGGTGTTGGGTAGGTGGTGTGTAGGTGGTGTTGTGGTGGTGGTGTGTGGTGGTGTGTGTGTGGTGTGTGGTGGTGTTGTATAGGTGGTGTTGTGTAGGTGGTGGTGTGGTGGTGTGTATGTGGGTGTGTAGGTGGTGTGTGTAGGTGTTGTGTAGGTGGTGGTGTGTAGGTGGTGGTGTGTAGGTGGTGGTGTGTGGTGTGTTGGGTGGTGTTGTCTAGGTGGTGTGTGTGTAGGTGTGTTGTGTAGGTGGTGTTGTGTGGTGTGGTGTGTAGTGGTGGTGTGTAGGTGGTGTTGTATAGGTGGTGTTGTGTAGGTGGTGTGTAGGTGGTGTGTAGGTGGTGGTGTGTAGGTGGTGTTGTGTAGGTGGTGTTGTATAGGTGGTGGTGTGTAGGTGGTGTGTAGTGGTGTTGTGTAGGTGGTGGTGTGGTGGTGGTGTGTAGGTGGTGGTGTGTAGGTGGTGTTGTATAGGTGGTGTTGTGTAGGTGGTGTGGGTGGTGTGTAGGTGGTGTGTGTGGTGTTGTGTAGGTGGTGGTGTGTGGTGGTGTTGTATAGGTGGTGGTGTGTAGGTGTTGTATAGGTGGTGGTGTGTAGGTGGTGTGTAGGTGGTGTTGTGTAGGTGGTGTTGTGTGGTGGTGGTGTGTAGGTGTTGTATAGGTGGTGGTGTGTAGGTGGTGTGTAGGTGGTGTTGTGTAGGTGGTGTGTAGGTGGTGTTGTGTAGGTGGTGGTGTGTAGGTGGTGGTGTGTAGGTGGTGGTGTGTAGGTGGTGTTGTATAGGTGGTGTTGTGTAGGTGTTGTATAGGTGGTGGTGTGTAGGTGTTGTATAGGTGGTGGTGTGTTGTGGTGTTGTGTTGGTGGTGTGGTGTGGTGGTGTTGTGTGGTGTTGTGGTGGTGTTGTATAGGTGGTGTTGTATAGGTGTGTTGTGTGGTGATGTTGTGTAGGTGGTGTGTAGGTGTGTTGTGGTGGTGTTGTATAGGTGGTGTTGTATAGGTGGTGTTGTGTAGGTGGTGTTGTGTGGTGTTGTGTAGGTGGTGGTGTGTAGGTGGTGGTGTGTAGGTGGTGTTGTATGGTGGTGTTGTGTAGGTGGTGTGTAGGTGGTGTGTTGGTGGTGTGTAGGTGGTGTTGTGTAGGTGGTGTTGGTAGGTGGTGTGTGGTGGTGGTGTGTAGGTGGTGTTGTGTAGGTGGTGGTGTGTGGTGGTGTGTGTGTGGTGGTGTGTAGGTGGTGTTGTATAGGTGGTTGTGTGGTGTGTGTAGGTGGTGTGTGGGGTGGTGTGTGTAGGTGTTGTGTAGGTGGTGGTGTGTGGTGTTGTATAGGTGGTGGTGTGTGGTGTTGTAGGTGGTGGTGTGTAGGTGGTGTGTAGGTGGTGTTGTGTAGTGGTGTTGTGTAGGTGGTGGTGTGTAGGTGTTGTATAGGTGTGGTGTGTGGTGTGTGGTGTGTTGTGTAGGTGGTGTGTAGGTGGTGTTGTGTGTGGTGGTGTGTGGTGGTGTTGTGTAGGTGGTGGTGTGTAGGTGGTGTTGTGTAGGTGGTGTTGTGTAGGTGGTGTTGTATAGGTGGTGTTGTGTAGGTGTTGTATAGGTGGTGGTGTGTAGGTGTTGTATAGGTGGTGGTGTGTAGGTGGTGTGTAGGTGGTGTTGTGTAGGTGGTGTTGTGTAGGTGGTGGTGTGTGGTGTTGTATAGGTGGTGGTGTGTAGGTGTTGTATAGGTGGTGGTGTGTAGGTGGTGTTGTATGGTGGTGGTGTGTGGTGTTGTATGGTGGTGTGTGGTGGTGTGTAGGTGGTGTTGTGTAGGTGGTGTTGTAGGTGGTGTTGTATAGGTGGTGGTGTGGTGGTGTGTAGGTGGTGTTGTGTAGGTGGTGTTGTGTGGTGTGTAGGTGGTGTTGTGTAGGTGGTGGTGTGTAGTGTTGTATAGGTGGTGGTGTGTAGGTGTTGTAGGTGGTGTGTGTAGGTGGTGTTGTAGGTGGTGGTGTGTCGGTGTTGTATAGGTGGTGGTGTGTAGTGGTGTGTAGGTGTGTTGTGTAGGTGGTGTTGTATAGTGGTGTTGTATGGTGGTGGTGTGTAGGTGGTGTGTAGGTGGTGTTGTGTAGGTGGTGTTGTGTAGGTGGTGTTGTGTAGGTGTTGTATAGGTGGTGGTGTGTAGGTGGTGTGTAGGTGGTGGAAAACGGCCAACGATCCTTAAACCGTGAACCAGACCTAAAACTCACATCTCCTCTTCTCTCGACCTCTGACCTCACGCTCTCCGACTCTGGTCGCTAAGGTAACAGTTACATATCCCTTCAAAATAAAATGCAGCTGTAGGTGCATTTACTTTTATAAATGCAGTACTTGGCTCCTCAGGGTGGAGCCAAGTACTGCACCCTGAGGAGCTCCACACGTTCCACAACTCATCAGCCTCTTTAAGGAGGTTTTGGCAGGAGACCAAAAGCCTCCACATCTTGGAATGAGAACCAAACTGAAGTGTTTCAGGAAAATCAGTGGCCTCACCTCTTCCTTGTACTTGTTGATGTAGAAGTAGAGCTCATTGAGCGCGCTCAGTGTGTTGAACTCGTTGCCATGTAGACGGGACTGCTCCACCAGGTAGGCGTCCATGTCCTGATCGCTGATGCTGGGCATCTTGGAGATGTCCCTGTAGTACCTTCATGACAGACAGGCAGACAGGTGAGACCCGCTCAGAACCGAAACATCAGCTTCTGGTTCTGAACTGAACAATCCGGATCTGTTCAGTCAAACAGATTTTAGACTTTTCAAATGCCTTTGAGGATTTGTGGCCCAATCATACGGGTCTGTTTTGAGTTTCTGAAAGTAATTTGTTATAAGAAGCCACATTTTCCAATGAAATCTATAAAAACCCAACAGTGAGAACAAATCAGCAACTTCCAAATATTAGACTGCTATGGTTTGAAATGTGATCTGGAAATCTGCGGAAACAAAGCAGTGAAAGTGGCACTTTTCTCTCTCCTGCATCTCCCATCTGCGCTGCTTTTGCTCTTTGCATGTCCTCCAGCTGGATCTGGTCAGCTGGTGTTTCAGTGCAGTTGACCAAATTATAAGACCGGTCAAAGCAGAGCCGTCCGGCCCGATGGGGCCCGCTGTGGACCCCACAGTGGACCCCACAGTGGACCCCACAGTGGACCCCACAGTGGACCCCACAGTGGACTCCGCTGTGGACCCCACAGTGGACAGTGGACCCGCTGTGGACTCTGCTGTGGACTCCGCTGTGGACCCCACAGTGGACTCCGCAGTGGACCCCACAGTGGACTCCGCAGTGGACCCCACAGTGGACTCCGCAGTGGACCCCGCTGTGGACTCCGCTGTGGACCCCACAGTGGACTCCGCTGTGGACCGGGTGTTTGTCCAGCAGGATTATTATTCTGGCCTCCATGATGGCTGCAACCTCAGGAACCTGTCCACCCATGTCTTTTGCCATTTGTCTTTTTTGTTCTTTAGATGGGCTGCACTTACACATACTTGATTGTGCTTCTTTGTACAACAACAATAAAGGCTGATTGTGAAAGTAAAGCCATTGACAGACAATGTTGTTTCAATAAAAAAGAACTAACGGTGTTCATGACCCATCTGGTGACCTCAGGCGGTTTGTTACCTGAACTCACGTCTCATCTGGTTGTTGTGGAGAAACTATCAATAAAGTGTTTCATCTAATTCAGGCAGCAAAGCTGTGAAACATTAACATGTGACAAGGCCAAAGAGACGACCAAGGAAACTGCTTTTCTACCTCTCCACCCAGCTTTTGTAGTTGGGGATGTCTTTAGCATAGAGCAGCTTGTTGGACGGCGAGTCTTTGCCGAGCCGATGTTCGGACGTTGAGCACGAGTCCATGAAGGTCTGCGCCACCACCGACAGGCAGGCGTCTGTGATGCTGCTCTTATGGATGTCGAAGACGAACTGCGGATTCTTAATGACGTTGACCCAGAACCTGAGAGGAAGACTGCAGACCGCACAGAGGAGGCTAACTCAGACGGATCCTAGGAAGATGCCCAGGGACAAAATTCATGGGGTCTTGGCTCACCAGTTGCTCTTCCAGGTGTGCCGGACATCTGGGTCGGTGATTGACCGTTTGTCGGCCTGCTCGTCCAAAAAGTCGAACATGTATTTAATCGCCAAAGGCAGTGCGGAGCCACGATGGGCCGTGCTGAACACGGTCTCAAAAAGGTCGTCCACAAACTTCTGCAGTGTCCCCTGGTGGTGGAAGGATCAATGGATAATTTAAGTCAGAACGACAATGAAATATTTGACATCAAAAGTCAAAATAAATCTTAAACAGACCCAAAAAAACCCAAAAATGAACACAGACAAGTTCATGATACCTGGGCATTTTTTGTGTTTTGGTGGGTTTTTAGAAAAGATTCTGTCTCCAGAAACTAGAGGAGAAACCATTTGTTCACTTAAATAACCACAGGAACCTTTAAGTAAATCAAATCCGAGTTCTAAAAGACAAATCAGATGAAGCATCTGCAGCTTGCAGAGCGATCAACAGTCAGACCCCAGTCTACCCATCGACTCGATCCAGTGGGACCAAAGACTCCACTGCAAGTCTTTGCCAAGATTTTCTGACTATGTGGCAAAGCATGTGCAAAAGAGCCAAGAGCCAAGAACCAAGAGTCAAGAGCCCAGAGCCAAGAGTCAAGAGACAAGAACCAAGAGTCAAGAGGCAAGTGTCAAGAGTCAAGAGCCAAGAGTCAAGAACCAAGAGCCAAGAGTCAAGAGCCAAGAGTCAAGAGCCAAGAGCCAAGAGTCAAGAGTCAAGAGCCAAGAGTCAAGAGCCAAGAGTCAAGACCCAAGAGTCAAGAGTCAAGAGCCAAGAGTCAAGAGCCAAGAACCAAGAGCCAAGAGCCAAGAGTCAAGAGCCAAGAGCCAAGAGTCAAGAGCCAAGAGTCAAGAGCCAAGAGCCAAGAGTCAAGAGCCAAGAACCAAGAGCCAAGTGTCAAGAGTCAAGAGCCAAGACCCAAGAGCCAAGAGACAAGTGTCAAGAGTCAAGTGTCAAGAGTCAAGAGCCAAGAGTCAAGAACCAAGAGTCAAGACCCAAGAGTCAAGAGTCAAGAGCCAAGAGTCAAGAGCCAAGAGTCAAGAGCCAAGAACCAAGAGCCAAGAGCCAAGAGTCAAGAGCCAAGAGCCAAGAGTCAAGAGCCAAGAGCCAAGAGTCAAGAGCCAAGAGCCAAGAGTCAAGAGCCAAGAACCAAGAGCCAAGTGTCAAGAGTCAAGAGTCAAGAGCCAAGACCCAAGAGCCAAGAGACAAGTGTCAAGAGTCAAGAGCCAAGAGTCAAGAGTCAAGAGCCAAGAGTCAAGAGTCAAGAGTCAAGAGCCAAGAGTCAAGAGCCAAGAGTCAAGAGCCAAGAACCAAGAGTCAAGAGCCAAGTGTCAAAGAGTCAAGAGCCAAGAGTCAAGAACCAAGAGCCAAGTGTCAAGAGCCAAGAACCAAGAGTCAAGAGTCAAGAGCCAAGAGCCAAGAGTCAAGAGCCAAGAGTCAAGAGCCAAGAGTCAAGACCCAAGAGCCAAGAGTCAAGAGTCAAGAGCCAAGAACCAAGAGTCAAGAACCAAGAGTCAAGAACCAAGAGTCAAGAGCCGAGAACCAAGAGTCAAGACCCAAGAGCCAAGAGTCAAGAGCCAAGAGTCAAGAGCCAAGAGTCAAGAGCCAAGAGTCAAGAGCCAAGAGTCAAGAGCCAAGAACCAAGAGCCAAGAGTCAAGAGCCAAGAGCCAAGACCCAAGAGCCAAGAGACAAGTGTCAAGAGTCAAGAGCCAAGAACCAAGAGTCAAGAGTCAAGAGCCAAGTGTCAAGAGTCAAGAGTCAACAGCCAAGACCCAAGAGACAAGAGCCAAGTGTCAAGAGTCAAGAGTCAAGAGCCAAGAACCAAGAGTCAAGAGTCAAGAGCCAAGAACCAAGAGCCAAGTGTCAAGAGTCAAGAGTCAAGAGCCAAGAGCCAAGTGTCAAGAGTTAAGAGTCAAGAGCCAAGAACCAAGAGTCAAGAGTCAAGAGCCAAGAGCCAAGAGTCAAGAGCCAAGAGTCAAGAGCCAAGAGTCAAGAGCCAAGAGCCAAGAGTCAAGAGTCAAGAGCCAAGAACCAAGAGTCAAGAACCAAGAGTCAAGAACCAAGAGTCAAGAGCCGAGAACCAAGAGTCAAGACCCAAGAGCCAAGAGTCAAGAGCCAAGAGTCAAGAGTCAAGAGCCAAGAGTCAAGAGCCAAGAGTCAAGAGCCAAGAGTCAAGAGCCAAGAACCAAGAGCCAAGAGTCAAGAGCCAAGAGCCAAGACCCAAGAGCCAAGAGACAAGTGTCAAGAGTCAAGAGCCAAGAACCAAGAGTCAAGAGTCAAGAGCCAAGTGTCAAGAGTCAAGAGTCAACAGCCAAGACCCAAGAGACAAGAGCCAAGTGTCAAGAGTCAAGAGTCAAGAGCCAAGAACCAAGAGTCAAGAGTCAAGAGCCAAGAACCAAGAGCCAAGTGTCAAGAGTCAAGAGTCAAGAGCCAAGAGCCAAGAGCCAAGTGTCAAGAGTTAAGAGTCAAGAGCCAAGAACCAAGAGTCAAGAGCCAAGAACCAAGAACCAAGAGTCAAGAGCCAAGAACCAAGAGTCAAGAGCCAAGAACCAAGAGTCAAGAGTCAAGAGCCAAGAGCCAAGAACCAAGAGTCAAGAGCCAAGAACCAAGAACCAAGAGCCAAGAACCAAGAACCAAGAGTCAAGAGCCAAGAACCAAGAGTCAAGAGCCAAGAACCAAGAACCAAGAGCCAAGAGCCAAGAACCAAGAGTCAAGAGTCAAGAGCCAAGAGTCAAGAGCCAAGAACCAAGAGTCAAGAGCCAAGAACCAAGAGTCAAGAGCCAAGAACCAAGAGTCAAGAGCCAAGAACCAAGAGTCAAGAGCCAAGAACCAAGAGCCAAGAACCAAGAGTCAAGAGTCAAGAGCCAAGAGTCAAGAGTCAAGAGTCAAGAGTCCTGCTCTAACCCTAACTCTGGATCTCACACAAACCCTGATGATCAGGTCTTACGGCGTTACCTCGGTGACCAGCGGTCTGTCTCAAGGCGTTACCATGGTGACCAGCGGTCTGTCTCAAGGTGTTACCTTGGTGGCCAGCAGTCTGGTCAGGTAGATCTCGGAGACCATCTTGCTGCCCCGGTCTCCTTCTCGCTGGTCGCTGTGCTCGTGGTTCTTCACCAGGTGCCAAAGTTTAGTTCCTGGAAACAGACAACGATGTGGCGTCAGCAGAGTCCAATCCAGATCCGTACCGAGTCGGACCCGGCTCCAACAGACTCCCGGGTCGACTCCATGATGACCTGGGATGTTTCTGTGGTACCTGTCTCCTGGTCTGGGGTGATCATTGGAGCTCTGGATCTCAGGCTGTCGGGACTGCTGGACGTCCGCAGTAGGGACTCTGATGGCAGAGACGAACACATGAGATGTTTATGGTGACATAAATAAAACAACAATCAGCCTGGAAGCGTTCAGCTTTTCTCCACAGCTGGTTTTAAGGACGGATGAGGCAGAAGTCCTGGATCTGGATTCAGTAGCTGAAGCCGAACCCGTTCGACCCGACTGCAGCGACCGGTCCGACTCACCGTATCTGCTGAGGGATCTGGTGAAGGTGAAGGAGTTGGCGATGTTGTAGGCAGAAACCTGCTTCTGGACCAGCGCCACCAGCGAGCCGTCTGTCACCTGGCAACCAGAACCACATATCAGTTGGCTTCACCCGACCAGATTTTCTGAGCAAGAACTGGACCTGGTTCAGCACCAGAACCAGTACTATCCTCTGAGCCGGTTCTGGTGGGGCCGGTTCCGTACCTGGTAGTGAGCCAACGTGTTCAGCCTTTTCCAGTCGCTCTCTATCTTGGTCGTCACGTCTTCGTCCTGCAGGATGATCCGGGTCAGCCGGCCCTGCCGCCACTCTGAGAACACAGAACCGTTAACAGAACTGGTCAAAACGGGTCGGACAGGGCCACCAGAACCGGGCTGCGTGGCGGTGCGGTACCGAGATCCATGTCGTCGGCCTGCGGCCGCTGGGAGAACGGGATTCCTTTGTAGACGGCGTCCAGCAGCTTGTCTTTGACCTGGGTCACCGTGTCGCAGTTCAGAACCTTCACCGGTACCTCGGTTCCAGCTTCGCCCTCCGGAGGAATGCACATCAGCGTCTGAGGAAGAGACGCTCCGTTTCTACAAAACTCCTGCTCTGGATCTGGCCAGAGATGTTCAGGCCAGATCCAGAACATCTCTGGATCTGGCCTGCTGCCTGGAAACGCTCAAGGTCCAGTTAAGGAGCCCAGTGGGACCCCAGCCCGACGTCTTACTCAGTTCTGACCCGGTTCTGTCCCAGATCTGGGATCAGCAACCAGAGAGGACTGGGTTCTGGCTGAACGCTCATATTGGGCTCTGAAACCAGAATGCCGGGTCAGAACCAGTTGATGGGATCGCTGGGAGTCATGCAACATTTCAGAGTAATGTGTTGCAGGTTCTGATTGGACCGGCAGACTACGGAAGGCTCTGCATCAGGCAGACCTGATAATAACGCGTCTGTCCGGATTTTCCCAGGATTCATTGCGATAAATGATGATATGCTAAAGGGAAAATCCTCTCAACGTTCTGAAGATCATTCAACTGGAAAATGTTTTAAATATCCAAAATACATCAACTGGGAACGGAACCAGGACAACCGAAGACCGCGGCCTCCGGACCCTCAGTCTGCCGAGAGAACCGCCCTGCGACCCGCTGGGCCCGTTGGCTCGGTTCTGAACACTGAGCTAACCTTTTCTTTTGTGAGCTCCTGTCTTTCTGCCGATTTCCGGATCAGTTCCGGATCGGTTCTGTACCGGTTCTTTGTTAATCCACAAGCATTGAACTTTCAGTGGGGAAACCGTTTTCCTAACGGAAACCTGTAGCTATGGAGACGGCTCAGCGATCCAGGCCGTTCTTGGTAAACAGTAAAACTATTGAGGTTCAAAAGTTTGGTTCTGAAAAGTGGGCCCTCAGCTCCACTGGGAACCAGAACCAGAACCTTTACCAGCTGCTTGTAGTCAATCTGCTGCCGGATCAGCTTGTCTTCGCTCAGAGAGTAGCGCGCCTCTCCGGTGATGGCGTCGATCGGCCCTTTCTCCATCTGCTGCTTGATGGCGCAGTAGAGCATGAAGAGCGGCTCCCCGGCGCACTCCTGGAGCCACAGGGACATACGGGGTGGGGGCAACAGAGACATATGGGGTGGGGCAACAGAGACATATGGGGTGGGGGCAACAGAGACATACGGGGTGGGGGCAACAGAGACATACGGGTGGGGGCCACAGAGACATACGGGGTGGGGGCAACAGAGACATACGGGGGGGGCAACAGAGACATACGGGGTGGGGGCCACAGAGACAACCGGGGTGGGGGCAACAGAGACATACGGGGTGAGGGCAACAGAGACAACCGGGGTGGGGGCAACAGAGACATACGGGGTGGGGGCCACAGAGACAACCGGGGTGGGGGCAACAGAGACATATGGGGTGGGGGCAACAGAGACAACCGGGGTGGGGGCAACAGAGACATACGGGGTGGGGGCAACAGAGACATATGGGGTGGGGGCAACAGAGACATACGGGGTGGGGGCCACAGAGACAACCGGGGTGGGGGCAACAGAGACATACGGGGTGGGGGCAACAGAGACATACGGGGTGGGGGCAACAGAGACATATGGGGTGGGGGCCACAGAGACATACGGGGTGGGGGCCACAGAGACATACGGGGTGGGGGCCACAGAGACAACCGGGGTGGGGGCAACAGAGACATATGGGGTGGGGGCAACAGAGACAACCGGGGTGGGGGCAACAGAGACATACGGGGTGGGGGCAACAGAGACATATGGGGTGGGGGCAACAGAGACAACCGGGGTGGGGGCAACAGAGACATACGGGGTGGGGGCAACAGAGACATATGGGGTGGGGGCAACAGAGACATACGGGGTGGGGGCCACAGAGACAACCGGGTGGGGGCAACAGAGACATACGGGGTGGGGGCAACAGAGACAACCGGGGTGGGGGCAACAGAGACATATGGGGTGGGGGCCACAGAGACATACGGGGTGGGGGCCACAGAGACAACCGGGGTGGGGGCAACAGAGACAACCGGGGTGGGGCAACAGAGACATATGGGGTGGGGGCAACAGAGACATACGGGGTGGGGGCCACAGAGACAACCGGGGTGGGGGCAACAGAGACATATGGGGTGGGGGCAACAGAGACAACCGGGGTGGGGCAACAGAGACATACGGGGTGGGGGCAACAGAGACATATGGGGTGGGGGCAACAGAGACATACGGGGTGGGGGCCACAGAGACAACCGGGGTGGGGCAACAGAGACATACGGGGTGGGGGCAACAGAGACAACCGGGGTGGGGGCAACAGAGACATATGGGGTGGGGGCCACAGAGACATACGGGGTGGGGCCACAGAGACATACGGGGTGGGGGCCACAGAGACAACCGGGGTGGGGGCAACAGAGACATATGGGGTGGGGGCAACAGAGACAACCGGGGTGGGGGCAACAGAGACATACGGGGTGGGGGCAACAGAGACATATGGGGTGGGGCAACAGAGACAACCGGGGTGGGGGCAACAGAGACATACGGGGTGGGGGCAACAGAGACATATGGGGTGGGGGCAACAGAGACATACGGGGTGGGGGCCACAGAGACAACCGGGTGGGGGCAACAGAGACATACGGGTGGGGGCAACAGAGACAACCGGGGTGGGGCAACAGAGACATATGGGGTGGGGGCCACAGAGACATACGGGGTGGGGCCACAGAGACAACCGGGGTGGGGGCAACAGAGACATACGGGTGGGGGCAACAGAGACAACCGGGGTGGGGGCAACAGAGACATATGGGGTGGGGCAACAGAGACATACGGGGTGGGGGCCACAGAGACAACCGGGGTGGGGGCAACAGAGACATACGGGGTGGGGGCAACAGAGACATCCGGGGTGGGGGCAACAGAGACAACCGGGGTGGGGGCCACGGGGCCATCAGCGTCCAACTCTTCAATCAGCAGTGATCCGATTGGGCGGCGGCCCGGGGGCGGGGTTACCTTCAGGAAGCGATGCAGCAGGAAGGTGAACCAGTTGGTCAGCATCTTCTCAGCAACAGACTCTGTTCTAAACAGACAGAGGTCAAAGGTCACACAGGAAGCGACTTGGTGTGGTGCTGTGGGCGTCAGAGCGAACCTCCTGAGGAGCAGCTTGGGGTGGTTCCGGTTCTCCAGGTTCTTCTCTATCAGATCTGCCAACAGCTGCTTCAGCACCACTGTGGCATACTCCATCCGACCCTGAGGAGGAAGGTCAGAGGTCACAGCTCAGAATCATATCTGGGACTGACTGATGTACGGTGTCCCTCAGGGTTCTGCGCTCCATGGTTCAGCTAGTGTGGTAGTACCTGAGACCGGTCTTGGTCTCGCGACTACTCCTTGATGGTCTGAGTCTCTGGATTTTACTTCAAGGCCAAAACTGTAGAAATGTCCCTGAATTGCCATAATATTATCCAGTTTATTTGTCAGCATATTTGTTTCCACTGGATGCAAAACATACATTGCGCCAAGCAATAAAGTGTTCCCGCTGTGACCCTTCACCTCCCCTGCAGCTCACGGCGCTCAGACATGCAGTGAGTCTCAGTTTGTCTCGGAGCGGGAGACGATGCCCGTCTCATCGTCGGGAATAAATTTCCCAACATAAATCATGAGACGCCATATAATGACGTGTGAATTCAGCAACGCTGGACTATGTCCAACTTTTATCGTCACTTAGAAAAGAAGCTGAAAAGAAAGTTGAGCTCTCTGAGGTGATGCTAGCAAAGCTAGCTGTACAGGATGCACATGTTGCATGATAAATGCTGCGCTTGTTGACTGACGTGTTGCACATGTGCAATGATGCTGTGACTGTCTGTCATCGAGTGATGCGACGTTCATGAACGATCCGATTATTCTGGACTGAGAGCCGTTCTTTATGTAATGCTCTGGTACTCTGCAGTAGCTATTATTATTATTATTCTATTTTATTAAATATATATATTTATTGAATCACAGAATAAATAAAATACAGGATTGTAAGATCACACAAAGAGAATGTTCATTGCTCTTTGTTTGGTGGCCTATCTGTGCAAACACACAGCAGGTCTCCTTGTGCCTAGACTTAGACAAGACTTAGACTAGACTAGACTTAGACTAGACTTAGACTAGACTTAGACTTAGACTAGACTTAGACTAGACTTAGACTTAGACTTAGACTAGACTTAGACTAGACTTAGACTAGACTAGACTTAGACTAGACTAGACTAGACTAGACTTAGACTAGACTTAGACTTAGACTAGACTAGACTAGACTTAGACTAGTCTAGACTAGACTTAGACTAGACTAAGACTAGACTTAGACTAGACTTAGACTAGACTAGACTTAGACTAGACTTAGACTAGACTAGACTTAGACTAGACTAGACTTAGACTAGACTAGACTTAGACTAGACTTAGACTAGACTTAGACTAGACTTAGACTTAGACTAGACTTAGACTAGACTTAGACTAGACTTAGACTTAGACTAGACTTAGACTAGACTTAGACTAGACTAGACTTAGACTAGACTTAGACTTAGACTAGACTAGACTAGTCTAGACTAGACTTAGACTAAGACTAGACTTAGACTAGACTTAGACTAGACTAGACTTAGACTAGACTTAGACTAGACTTAGACTAGACTTAGACTTAGACTAGACTTAGACTAGACTTAGACTAGACTAGACTAGACTAGACTAGACTTAGACTAGACTTAGACTTAGACTAGACTAGACTAGTCTAGACTAGACTTAGACTAGACTAAGACTAGACTTAGACTAGACTAGACTTAGACTAGACTTAGACTAGACTTAGACTAGACTAGACTTAGACTAGACTTAGACTAGACTTAGACTAGACTTAGACTAGACTAGACTTAGACTAGACTAGACTAGACTTAGACTAGACTAGTCTAGACTAGACTTAGACTAGACTAAGACTAGACTTAGACTAGACTTAGACTAGACTAGACTTAGACTAGACTTAGACTAGACTTAGACTAGACTTAGACTTAGACTAGACTTAGACTAGACTAGACTAGACTTAGACTAGACTAGACTAGACTTAGACTAGACTTAGACTTAGACTAGACTAGACTAGTCTAGACTAGACTTAGACTAGACTAAGACTAGACTTAGACTAGACTTAGACTAGACTAGACTTAGACTAGACTTAGACTAGACTTAGACTAGACTTAGACTAGACTTAGACTAGACTAGACTTAGACTAGACTAGACTTAGACTAGACTTAGACTAGACTAGACTTAGACTAGACTTAGACTAGACTATACTTAGACTAGACTTAGACTAGACTTAGACTAGACTAGACTTAGACTAGACTTAGACTAGACTATACTTAGACTAGACTAGACTAGACTTAGACTAGACTAGACTTAGACTAGACTTAGACTAGACTTAGACTAGACTTAGACTAGACTAGACTAGACTTAGACTAGACTTAGACTAGACTTAGACTAGACTTAGACTAGACTAGACTTAGACTAGACTAGACTTAGACTAGACTTAGACTAGACTTAGACTAGACTTAGACTAGACTAGACTTAGACTAGACTTAGACTTAGACTAGACTAGACTTAGACTAGACTAGACTTAGACTAGACTATACTTAGACTAGACTAGACTTAGACTAGACTTAGACTAGACTTAGACTAGACTTAGACTAGACTTAGACTTAGACTAGACTAGACTTAGACTAGACTAAGACTAGACTTAGACTAGACTAGACTTAGACTAGACTTAGACTAGACTTAGACTAGACTAGACTTAGACTAGACTTAGACTAGACTAGACTTAGACTAGACTTAGACTAGACTATACTTAGACTAGACTAGACTAGACTTAGACTAGACTTAGACTAGACTTAGACTAGACTTAGACTAGACTTAGACTAGACTAGACTTAGACTAGACTAGACTTAGACTAGACTAGACTAGACTTAGACTAGACTTAGACTAGACTTAGACTAGACTTAGACTAGACTAGACTAGACTTAGACTAGACTTAGACTAGACTTAGACTAGACTCGTACTTTATTGATCCCTTGGGAAGACTCCCTCAGGAACTTGAAGTTACCAGCAGTTTAACTTCAATTAAGCTGCTTAATTGAAGCTGCACAAAATACACTGTGCACAAAATCTTTTGTATTTTGTGCACATAGTGCACAAAATACAAAAGAATACAACAAATACAAATTAAATACAGAGGTACACACTAAATGTGAGTAGCCAAAACCCTAAATTAAGCAAAAATAAGCAAGAAATAAGAATATAAGTAAAATATAAATAAAAAATATAAATGCAACACAAGAGAAATATAGGAATTTGGCGGATAGATTGACCAGTGATATGATATTGCACTATATGGTTTGGCCTGATAAGTATGGATATTTGCAGAAAAGTACAAGGGTTACTTTTACTGGTTACTTCTTGGACGGAGTTCATAGTTGGCTATTTAACGTTATTGCGTTGTCATGGTTGCTGTGTTTAACGGTTCAGACAGTGGTGGTTTCTGACATGGGCCATATGAGCAACCACCCAGGGCGTTATCTTGTTAGGGGCGACATGAGACCTCTGCAGATTGTGGCACAGAGACGGAAGCAAAGCAGAAGAAAGAAGAATTTGAATCGATGATTCTAATGTATTTCAGCTCTAAGCAGAGCCAGACCCAGAACTTTGGGTCGGTCCCAGACTTTGGGTTGGTACCTGCAGAGCAGCCATCAGCAGGGAGGCGACGTTCCCTCGGTCCCGCATGGAGAAGGACCTCTGGGCCTCCAGCGTGTGGATGAAGCTGAGCAGGAACATCTTGTTGTTGAGCAGCTGGCTGAAGAGGCGCAGAGCTTTCTCCACGTTGGCTGGAGACTGCAGGGGGAGAGGAGCGTTACCGGCCGGGTTCGTGTCGGGACCGTCCGGAGTCCGAGGCTCGGCCGGAGTCCGAGGCTCGGCCGGAGTCCGAGGCTCGGCCGGAGCGAGGGTTTGGGCCGAACTGGCGGTCGTACGTACGTCGAGCTCCTTGAGCACCGGATGCTCCTCTATGCCGGGGAACATGACCCTCATTGTGTAGGTCCGATACTCCAGGAAGGGGATCTTGACTCCATCCATGTCGTTGGTCAGCTCCTGGATGTCGGTTTGCAGCTCGGCGAAGGCTGCGGGACGGACAGGAAGTTATATTCACCAGTGAACCGAGGGCGATGGAGACAAGCGACCACCCACCCTCTTTGCACTCTAGCGCCACCCGGCTCTCCAAGTTGTCCATCTGCAGCTGCAGGCGCTTCAGCGTCCGGTCGGCGTCTCGGGTCTTCCTCTTGTAGGCGATGAGCACGGCGATGATGGCGATGAGGAGAACGCCGCCGCCCGCGCCGATGCCGATGATGGCGGGCAGCGTCAGCGTGTTGTCGGAGTAAATGTGGAGAATCCCCGGGAAGTACTCCAGACCGCCCACCTGGATCTACAAGAGAACAGGCAGGTTAGGGTCAAGGGTCATGTGACCTCAGGTTTGTCTGTAAAAACAGGCCTTAAATTCATTTCATGGGAATATTTTAAATGAATGTCTTCTCTTTTTATTGGCTCTAATGGCCTTTATTTGATAGTGAATTGACCAGCAAGAGGGCAATGCAAAGGTCACCAGGCCGGGAATCGAACCTGCGACGGTCGAGTTGATGACTGAGGCCTCCATATGTCCACTGGGCTTAACCCTTGTGCCACCACAGCATTTTGTGCAAAATATTAAGAATATACACTGACTAATATGTCCTTATATGTATATACATAGATGTACATATAAGGCATTATTATTATATCCAGAAGTAAATTTCTTAGTTATGTTACGGATATTTTCGGCTAATAACTGAAAAAAAAATCACTTGTGCAGAACAAAATATAAACATGCTGTTTGCTTTAACTTTATTAAAATCTGTTTGGATAAAAAATTTTACATAAGCATTCAAATAATTAACGACTCATGAAAGATTGACGGAGTTTTCCAGTTGATAAAACTCTGCGCTCCTGCTGGCGTTCAGGTGAGTCTTTATCTCAGCTGATTAAAGTGTTTCCTGTTTGCAGAGTAAATATTGATCCAGTTTGAACAAACCGATGAATTAATAACGGCACTATGATGTCTAATAATTGATGATGTTCATAATGCATCAAAAGCTGCCAGCGAAGCCTGAATTCAGGTTCACAATCTGGAATCTGCAGCTCTATAATAACTACAGTGGTTTTCTGGATCTTATTGAGATGTTGAAACTACGTTCTGTCATCTGATGGAGAATTTATCTGGCGAGGTTCTGACATCACAGCAATTAGCTGCAATTAATTGCTCCAATTAGCTTCCTTAACTCCAAAAAACCCCAATTAGCTTTCTTAACTCTAACTAGTTTCATTAACTCCAAATAGCACCATTAGCTCCAATTAGTTTCATTAACTCCAATTAGCAGCATTAGCTCCAATTAGTTTCATTAACTCCAATTAGCAGCATTAGCTCCAATTAGCTTCATTAACTCCAATTAGCACCATTAGCTCCACTTAGCTTCATTAACTCCAATTAGCAGCATTAGCTCCAATTAGTTTCATTAACTCCAATTAGCACCATTAGCTCCAATTAGCTTCATTAACTCCAATTAGCACCATTAGCTCCACTTAGCTTCATTAACTCCAATTAGCACCATTAGTTCCAATTAGTTTCATTAACTCCAATTAGCACCATTAGCTCCAACTGGTTTCATTAACTCCAATTAGCACCATTAGCTCCAATTAGTTTCATTAACTCCAATTAGCACCATTAGCTCCAATTAGTTTCATTAACTCCAATTAGCACCATTAGCTCCAATTAGTTTCATTAACTCCAATTAGCACCATTAGCTCCAATTAGTTTCATTAACTCCAATTAGCACCATTAGCTCCAATTAGCTTCATTAACTCCAATTAGCACCATTATCTCCACTTAGCTTCATTAACTCCAATTAGCACCATTAGTTCCAATTAGTTTCATTAACTCCAATTAGCACCATTAGCTCCAACTGGTTTCATTAACTCCAATTAGCACCATTAGCTCCAATTAGCTTCATTAACTCCAATTAGCACCATTAGCTCCAATTAGTTTCATTAACTCCAATTAGCACCATTAGCTCCAATTAGTTTCATTAACTCCAATTAGCACCATTAGCTCCAATTAGCTTCATTAACTCCAATTAGCACCATTAGCTCCAATTAGTTTAATTAACTCCAATTAGCACCATTAGCTCCAATTAGTTTCATTAACTCCAATTAGCACCATTAGCTCCAATTAGCTTCATTAACTCCAATTACCATTAGCTCCAATTAGTTTCATTAACTCCAATTAGCACCATTAGCTCCAATTAGCTTCATTAACTCCAATTAGCACCATTAGCTCCACTTAGCTTCATTAACTCCAATTAGCACCATTAGCTCCAATTAGCTTCATTAACTCTAATTAGCACCATTAGCTCCAATTAGCACCATTAGCTCCAATTATCTTCATTAACTCTAATTAGCACCATTAGCTCCAATTAGCTTCATTAACTCAAATTGCTCCAATTAACTTTATTAGCTCCAAATAGCCTCACTTGTGGCTACAGCTAACAACTTTCACCTTTACAGCTCCCTCCTCTTCCTCCGATGAAGGACCGACCTGCTTCATGCTGCGGGTCGGGTCCTGACTGTGTGAAATATTCTCTCAGAGATTTTGCGTGGTAGAGAATCTGATGTGGCGCGACGTTTCAGGCTAAACTCGACGTGGAGCGTTTGTGTAAATATGGGACCCCTTGATGATGATGATGATGGTTGATTAGCATCTGCATGTCTTCATCATGGAGCTCCAAACTGGTCCCAGCGTCACAGAGGGAAACCAGCAGGAGGTGTGAGGAACCGGTCCCAGTTCAAAGAGAACCGGTCCCAACTGGACCTGCGACGCGTCGGGAACGTTCCTAAAAGCTCCAGACGGGCCCGTCCGGACGGAACCCACTGTCCGGACGGGGGACAGTGGGTCCTCGTCCTGGGCGGTCCGATCAGAACCGGTCAGGACTCACCGCGACCCGCTGCTCCCCGGTCAGGTCCGGAGTCGCAGAGCAGCTGGTTCTCGGAGACGGTGAGCAGGCAGGGCGATTCCCCGATGAGAACGGTGTAGTTCAGCCGGGCGTTGCCGGGCGCCGCCGGGATCAGGTTCTTCCCCTAGAACCAGAACACACCTGGTGAGCCGCAGGTAAGCCCGGCCACGCCTCGCATCGCCCCCGTGACCTCTGACCTTCAGAATGATGGGAGAGCCCGGCTTGACCTCCAGGATCCCGGCGGGGCCGAGTGGGTCGAAGGTCGGGTTGGGGTAGTGGGTGAAAGCGGTGGAGTTCAGGACCAGCAGCGACGACACCTGGACAGGTGGAGGACAGAGACAGCTGGCATGAAGTCCACACAGAACCAGATCGGAAATGGGTCACGACCCGGTGAGAACCCGGTCGGAAGCACATCAGAACCCAGCCGGTACCTGGTCCAAAATGAAGCCGAACTCATCGGGCCGCAGCGCCCCCTCTGGCGGGTCGGGCTTGTTGTAGATGAGGCCGGGAGCCAGGCAGGTCATGGTGCTGTCGTTCACCACGGTGCAGTACTGCAGAGGAAGAGGAGGATGAAGAGGACGAAGAGGAAGAACGATGAAGAGGAGGCACAGCTCCAGCCGGCGTCTTACGTTGCTGGTCTCCACGCCGCCGTACTTGGCCCTGACCTTTGGCTCCTGGATGGTCTGCAGGTTGGTCCCGGTCACCGTGATCAGCGTGCTGCCGCTGGACAAACACACAGGGACGGGTCAGGGTTCTGGGTCGGTTCTGGTTCTGAGGGCTCAGTTGCTGGCTTTCCATCTACAACTGGACATTGATTAATGATCAGCTCCAACAGAGCCCTGATTGGTCCAGATGTTCCTAACATCTACGTTTTGCACACCGCACTTTTCAGATTTTTATCTGCTTAAATTGTGAATCTTTTCCTTCCCAGATTCAAACCATCATGTTGGTTTTTCACAGTAAACTCTACTGACGTCTGGCTGCCGTGTTTCTGCTGTGTTTGCGGCGCAGCAGTGAAACCGATCTCACTTGAGGATGGTCCAGTTGGGCTCGATGCCGGAGACGGTCGGGTCCTCGCTGTAGCTGTAGCTGACCTCGGCGTTGGTCACCTCGGCCCGGTCGATCATCAGACGCACGGGAGCAGGGCCGGCGCCGGACGGCGAGGCGGGCGTTATGCAGACTATCTCCCGATTGGTGCGCCTGCAGGAGGAGAGACGCCGTTAACCCGCCGGCGGTCTGGAGCTTTTCTGGGCCGGCTTCCCGTCTGCTCAAGAACCTGGAGCTTCCCAGATGCACTCACTTCACAAACAGACACTCCTCCCTGTGGACAAACACGGAGACGCTGCTGCCGGAGTCCAGGTGTCGCCCGACCACCGTCAGCCGGGTTCCTCCAGAGACGGGCCCCATCAGCGGGCGGATCCGGGTAAAGCTTGGGCTCTGAGGAAACGGGGAATCAGTTTAACCAAGAAACGGATTGGATAGGCGGTTCTGACCAGAATTCTGTCCAAGTTTTTTGTCTTCTAAACCTAAGAAGCTAACTGAGCTTGCTACAAGGGAAGCTAACTGGAACCAGGATCAGAGAAGCTAAGTGGGCCCAGCAGAGACTCACCACAAAGGAGTAGGTCTGGGTGGACAAGGTCCGGTACTCGGCGCTGCACACGCCGATGCAGAGCTCCACCGGCCCGCCGGGCGAGTGAGGCAGCAGGGCTTCGGCCATGTCGCACACGATCCTGCAGACCCGGCAGAGTCAGCGGTACGCCTGCTTAGCATGTGTTAGCATGTTTTCTACCATGTTCCTTAGCATGTTTGCTAATGCAGGCTAGCTAACAGGTTAACATGTGTGCTAGCCTGTTTCCTAGCGCGTTGACCTGGACTCGCCACTGACCTCTCGGCGCTGACGTACAGCGACGGCACCGGGTTGCAGCGGACGCCGGCCACCTGGATGTGCGTGATCTCCTTGACCTGCAGACCCAGATTCTCGCCCTCAATGGCGACGCGGGTGCCGCCCTCGCGGGGTCCGGTCAGCGGGTCGATCTGCAGGAGACGGCGGGTCAGAAGCGCCCAGCGGAACCTTGAGGTGGCGCTGTGGCAGACCCACCTTGGTGATGCGCGGGTGGCTGCAGCGCAGGTTGTGGCGGCCGTGGTGCATCCAGTTCTGCTCCGGCGAGGGGCAGTGCTGCCGCAGGAGGCACTTCCTGCTCTCCACGCACCACCCGCACTCGAACACAGGGGGCGCTTTGAGGCACTGGCCACAGCTGGAGCGCTGCGCTTCACACTTGTACAGCAAAGCTGCGGACAAGTCCAACAGGCAGAATCAGAACCGACTTCTGGACCACTGTTGCGGTTCTGGAAATTAATTGTCCCCCAGATTAATAATCACCAATAATCGGCTGAATGGTGACGAAGGAGGAATACCTTTCATGAAGGTGGGCTTGTCAATCAGGAAGTTTTCGTCCCAGACGATGGAGAAGTCCACCTGGAGGTCTCCAGCCTCGTCTCCTTCGTACCAGTACTGCAGAACCAGAACCAGAACCAGAACCTCCTTCAACATCGAGACTTCACATCAGAAATTACACATGATCATTTACAGTCGGAACCATGGCTGAGCAGAACCAGCAGCATTTAGTTGGTTCTGGTTCCACTCCAGCTGAGAGACGGGTCTTAGTTGTGGAGTCGGAACCAGCAGGAATTCTGGGAGTTTACGGCTAAATGGACAATTTCCACCAGGAGCCGAGATTTAATTAAAGACACACAGAGGGTCTGTGTGCAGGCGCACACTCACACACAGAGACACACACAGAGACACTCACAGAGACACTCACAGAGACACTCACACCCAGAGACACTCACAGAGACACTCACAGAGACACACACACCCAGAGACACTCACAGAGACACTCACAGAGACACTCACACACAGAGACACTCACAGAGACACTCACAGAGACACACACACACAGAGACACTCACAGAGACACTCACAGAGACACACACACACAGAGACACTCACAGAGACACTCACAGAGACACACACACACAGAGACACACACAGAGACACTCACAGAGACACTCACACACAGAGACACTCACAGAGACACTCACAGAGAGACACACCATGCTGTGTGTGTGTGTGTGTGTGTCTCTGTGTGTGTGTGTGTCTCTGTGTGTGTCTCTGTGAGTGTGTGTGTGTGTGTGTGTGTGAGCAAATGAGCAGACGGACGACATTTGTTGTGCATCTTCAGAAATAGACGGTCTGTGTCGTCGTCGCTCAGAAGACCCGTCTTGGTGAAGACTGAGGTCCAGACGGTGGACCAGGACGGGCCCAACAAGGACCTGGAGACATTTTCAGTTTCTGAAGATCCAGGACCAGGAAACAGAACTCTGCCTGCCTCTTCAGTACCAATGGGCAGAACCTGGACAGTGGGTCAGGCCCGGACCGGTTCTTCCCGGGTCGGGCCCGCTTACCGAGGTGTTCTGGCACTGGATGCAGGAAGAGTTGAAACGCACGGCGGGGATGCGCTGCACCTTGCCCTGGATGCTGAACACGCACTCGTAGTTCTTCTGACCCGACTGCGGCTGCGGCAGGTTCCGGGCCCGCAGCGTGATCGGACGCACCATCCCAGCCGGAACCAGGATGTCGGCGGTGGGGAGGATCTGGGGACAGCCCTGCAGAGACGCATTCAAAGATTAAGGGGTTCTGTCTCAGTTCTGTCTCAGTTCTGACCCAGTTTAGAAGATGTCCATCCTGAAACTTCCTGACTGACCCGGTTTCCACAAATCGCAAAACTTTTCTCACGATACTGTTTGCACAGTAACATCACATCCAACCTGTTTGTTCCCACCATGTTTGCAGAAGACCCTCACCTCCATGCTGCTGACCCGGCCCTCCTGGAAGGAGCAGTCCTTCAGGTTGTTGGTGCAGATGTGGCGAAATTTACACCAGAGGCAGGGAAAGCTGCTGCTGACACAGGAAGTGCACCTGAGGAGAGAGGGAGACTCTGATTGGTGGATCAGCGGTGGAAACACGTCTGCTTTGAGAAAGCACAAGATTTTCATTAAGGCTGAAGAGAGCGTGATTCCTCCGCTGCATTAGCCTCCGTTAGCTCGCCTGCATCTGTGTTCAGGACGTGTTGATTTACGACGCAAGTGACAGAAAGTGACAGACAGGAAAACATGCAGCTGGACTTTAATTTGTGCAAAAAGACAAAATACTCCATTAGTTGCTCTGAACAATTTTATCTTTAAAGAAATTTGTGCCACAGCTATGATGATACAATATATAGCTGGATGTTGTCTTGATATATTTGTTAAAAAGAAACAAATATTTGATGGCTATATTATTAACAACAAGTAAAAAAAATATTACAAAAAAATGCATATCACACAATAAACCTACTTTAAATGACTGGATGGATATAACATTTAATATATATAAAATGGAAAAAATAACAGCCTCTCTCAGTCACAGGACTGAACAATTCGATCACTGGTGGCAGATCTGGGTGAACTATGTACAGCATTAAGAGACCTGATGGACGTTCTTACCAATCCACTCTCCAACGATAGCTATACTTCGCAGGTAATTTATATTTTTGTATGCTTTTTGTGTTTGTTTTTTTTTGTTTTTTTTTTTGTTTTGCTTTGTTTTCCTCTCTTTCTTTTTTTTAACTCTTTCTCTCTTTGTAATCACTTTAAAATCCCTCTCAGGGAAGTGCAGTTACACTTTGATGTTACTGTTGTGAGTCAATGGTTTACTTGTACATCTTATTTCAAATGTCGTAGTTAATTTGGAGATGTAAATGCCCACTGTGATGTACAGGATGCTTTCTTGGGAAACAATAAAGATATAATTGTAAAAAATATTTTTGATATATTAAAAAATGAATATGTAAAAAAAAAGAAAGAAACAAAACATGAAAAAGTATCGAAAACTGGTAGTGATTCCCAGGTACCGGTTATTGGTACCGAGTGTCAAAGGTCACATCAGCTGACATGAAGAAGAGGAAGAGGAGACTCACGATCCGAGCACAGAGCAGTTGTAGTAAACTACGCTGGTGGAGATGAACCGGAGACCCGTCTCTGTGGAGCGCAGGCTGAGCTGGACCGCACGCTTCTCCCCTGGAGGAAACATGGCTGAGATCATCACAAAACCTTCACACGACCTTCATACAACCTTCACACGACCTTCACAGACCCTTCACAAAACCTTCACAAAACCTTCACACAACCTTCACAGACCCTTCACAAAACCTTCACACAACCTTCACAGACCCTTCACAAAACCTTCACAAAACCTTCACAAACCTTCACACATCCTTCACACGACCTTCATACAACCTTCACACGACCTTCACAGACCCTTCACAAAACCTTCACACAACCTTCACACGACCTTCACAGATCCTTCACAAAACCTTCACACAACCTTCACAGACCCTTCACAAAACCTTCACACAACCTTCACAGACCCTTCACAAAACCTTCACACAACCTAAACAGACCCTTCACAAAACCTTCACAAACCTTCACACAACCTTCACAGACCCTTCACAAAACCTTCACAGACCCTTCACACAACCTTCACACAACCTTCACAAAACCTTCACACAACCTTCACAAACCTTCACACATCCTTCACAGATCCTTCACAAAACCTTCACACAACCTTCACACAACCTTCACAAAACCTTCACAGACCCTTCACAAAACCTTCACACAACCTTCACAACCTTCACAGACCCTTCACAAAACCTTCACAGGCCCTTCACAAAACCTTCACACAACCTAAACAGGCCCTTCACAAAACCTTCACAAACCTTCACACAACCTTCACAGACCCTTCACAAAACCTTCACACAACCTTCACAGACCCTTCACAAAACCTTCACACAACCTAAACAGACCCTTCACAAAACCTTCACAAACCTTCACACAACCTTCACAGACCCTTCACAAAACCTTCACAGACCCTTCACACAACCTTCACACAACCTTCACAAAACCTTCACAAAACCTTCACAAACCTTCACACATCCTTCACAGATCCTTCACAAAAACCTTCACACAACCTTCACACGACCTTCACACGACCTTCACAGACCCTTCACAAAACCTTCACACAACCTTCACACAACCTTCACAGACCCTTCACAAAACCTTCACAGACCCTTCACAAAACCTTCACAGACCCTTCACAAAACCTTCACACAACCTTCACACAACCTTCACACAACCTTCACAGACCCTTCACAAAACCTTCACAAACCTTCACAAAACCTTCACAGACCCTTCACAAAACCTTCACACAACCTAAACAGACCCTTCACAAAACCTTCACAAACCTTCACACAACCTTCACAGACCCTTCACAAAACCTTCACACAACCTTCACACAACCTAAACAGACCCTTCACAAAACCTTCACAAACCTTCACACAACCTTCACAGACCCTTCACAAAACCTTCACAAACCTTCACAAAACCTTCACAGACCCTTCACAAAACCTTCACACAACCTAAACAGACCCTTCACAAAACCTTCACAGACCCTTCACAAAACCTTCACACAACCTTCACACAACCTTCACACAACCTTCACAAAACCTTCACACAACCTTCACAAAACCTGTTTATTTTGGTACCACTTGGTGTGGTATGTATTATTTTATGTTTTACTGTAAGCTTTACAATTTAACTTTTTTAATCTCTGTAGCACTTTGAGATTTCTTTGAAATATAAGGTGCGTTACAAATAAAATTTATTATTATTATTATTATTCACACAACCTTCACACGACCTTCACACGACCTTCACAGACCCTTCACAAAACCTTCACACAACCTTCACACAACCTTCACAGACCCTTCACAAAACCTTCACAGGCCCTTCACAAAACCTTCACAACCTAAACAGGCCCTTCACAAAACCTTCACAAACCTTCACACAACCTTCACAGACCCTTCACAAAACCTTCACACAACCTTCACAGACCCTTCACAAAACCTTCACACAACCTAAACAGACCCTTCACAAAACCTTCACAAACCTTCACAAACCTTCACAGACCCTTCACAAAACCTTCACAGACCCTTCACACAACCTTCACACAACCTTCACAAAACCTTCACAAAACCTTCACAAACCTTCACACATCCTTCACAGATCCTTCACAAAACCTTCACACAACCTTCACACGACCTTCACAGACCCTTCACAAAACCTTCACAGAACCTTCACACAACCTTCACAGACCCTTCACAAAACCTTCACAGACCCTTCACAAAACCTTCACAGGCCCTTCACAAAACCTTCACACAACCTTCACACAACCTTCACACAACCTTCACAGACCCTTCACAAAACCTTCACAAACCTTCACAAAACCTTCACAGACCCTTCACAAACCTTCACACAACCTAAACAGACCCTTCACAAAACCTTCACAAACCTTCACACAACCTTCACAAACCTTCACAGACCCTTCACAAAACCTTCACAAACCTTCACAAAACCTTCAGACCCTTCACAAAACCTTCACACAACCTAAACAGACCCTTCACAAAACCTTCACAAACCTTCACACAACCTTCACAGACCCTTCACAAAACCTTCACACAACCTTCACACAACCTAAACAGACCCTTCACAAAACCTTCACAAACCTTCACACAACCTTCACAGACCCTTCACAAAACCTTCACAAACCTTCACAAAACCTTCACAGACCCTTCACAAAACCTTCACACAACCTAAACAGACCCTTCACACAAAACTTCACAAACCTTCACAACCTTCACAGACCTTCACAAAACCTTCACACAACCTTCACACAACCTTCACACAACCTTCACAAAACCTGTTATTTTGGTACCACTTGGTGTGGTATGTATTATTTATGTTTTACTGTAAGCTTTACAATTTAACTTTTTAATCTCTGTAGCACTTTGAGATTTCTTTGAAATATAAGGTGCGTTACAAATAAAATTTATTATTATTATTATTATTCACACAACCTTCACACGACCTTCACACACCCACACTGTGTGTGTCTCACCATAAGGAGGAGCTTGTGCTGGCAGCTCCTCAAGCGACGGTGACATGCACACCACCTGACCTTCTGCTTGCACCTGTCCAGGTGTTTCCGTCAGGTCTTCGAACACACAGGTGACCCCGCCCGAAAGCTCCGGGACATTCTGCACCCTGATGGTCAGCTGGATGAAAGGGGGAGGAGGCTGAGCTTAGAGCCGACACAGCCCAAGCCGCAGGTGGGTCGGGGGGTGTGGCCACTCACCTGAGTGGGAGGAGAGGTGACGGACATGTTGCTAGGGGAAACCAAGATGAACACGCATTGGTCCAGACGGGTGTTGAAGTGCTGAGGCTCCTCCCACCGGTCACATGACTCCTTCCTGGAACACCTGCAGAGGTTAAAGGTCACCAGACATTTAAACCGTCCGTCCATCCATCCATCATCCATCCATCATCCATCATCATCCATCCATCCATCCATCATCCATCATCCATCCATCCATCCATCCATCCATCATCATCCATCCATCCATCCATCATCCATCCATCCATCCATCCATCATCCATCCATCCATCCATCCATCATCATCCATCATCCATCCATCATCCATCCATCCATCCATCCATCATCCATCCATCATCCATCCATCCATCATCCATCATCCGTCCATCATCCATCCATCTATCCATCATCCATCCATCCATCATCCATCCATCATCCATCATCCATCATCCATCCATCCATCCATCCATCATCCATCATCCATCCATCCATCATCCATCATCCATCATCCATCCATCCATCCATCATCCATCCATCATCCTCCATCCATCCATCCATCCATCCATCATCCATCATCCATCCATCCATCCACCATCCATCATCCATCCATCCTTCCATCCATCCATCCATCCATCCATCATCCATCATCCATCCATCATCCTTCCATCCATCCATCATCCATCCATCCATCCATCCATCATCCGTCCATCCATCCATCCATCTATCCATCATCCATCCATCCATCATCCATCCATCATCCATCCATTCATCCATCCATCCATCCATCTATCCATCATCCATCCATCCATCATCCATCCATCATCCATCCATCCATCCATCCATCATCCATCCATCCATCATCCATCCATCATCCATCATCATCCATCCATCCATCCATCATCATTCATCCATCCATCATCCGTCCATCCATCCATCCATCATCCATCCATCCATCATCCATCCATCCATCATCCATCCATCCATCATCCATCCATCCATCATCATCCATCCATCATCCCCATCCATCCATCCATCATCCATCCATCCATCATCCATCCATCCATCATTCATCCATCCATCCATCATCCATCCATCCATCCATCCATCCATCCATCATCCGTCCATCCATCCATCCATCCATCCATCCATCCCATCCATCATCCATCATCCATCATCCATCATCCATCATCCATCATCCGTCCATCCATCCATCCATCATCCATCCATCATCCATCCATCCATCACCCATCCATCCATCCATCATCCATCATCCGTCCATCCATCCATCATCCATCCATCCATCCATCATCCATCATCCGTCCATCCATCCATCCATCCATCCATCCATCCATCCATCCATCATCCATCCATCATCATCCATCCATCCATCATCCATCATCCATCCATCATCCATCCATCATCATCCATATCCATCCATCCATCATCCATCATCATCCATCCATCATCCATCATCCATCCATCATCATCCATCATCCATCATCCATCATCCATCCATCCATCCATCCATCCATCCATCCATCCATCCATCCATCCATCCATCCATCCATCCATCCGTCCATCATCCATCCATCCATCTATCCATCATCCATCCATCCATCATCCATCCATCCATCCATCCATCCATCCATCCATCCATCCATCCATCCATCCATCCATCCATCTTCAGGTTCTTTTTCTGATTGTCTGATTATCATCTCCTGATAACCGAGAAGGCGGCGATGGAGGCAGAGCAGCTGACAGGTGAAGGTGAAGTCTGCAGAAAGCAGCATCTCCAACCAGCAGTGCTGATATGTTTACTTTTAATTGACAGCAGATGAGCAGAGAGAGAAGGAGGAGGAAGAGGAGCAAAGCTGGATACCAGAACCAGCTACTGTCAGGGGAAACAGACGGAGCCTTGAGGGCGTCGCTAAGTAAAGTGTCAGGACATCATGGCTTCAGGAAACCTTCAAGCCGAGACTCTCCAGTTTATATTGGCAGAAACACTCAGAGAAACACTCAGAGACCCAACCAGCCGCCTCCTGGGTCTGCTCTCAGCCCTGTGGCTGAGGCTTTTACTTTGAAGGAACAGCTGACTGATGGAGCTCTGAACAGGAACTTCCTGCATGATCTCGATGCTGAACATCAAACATCGAGATGAGAGATTGGAGAATTCAGAGCAACATTAATGACGCCTAAGGGAATCACACACACACACACACACACACACACACACACACACACACACACACACACACACACACACACACACACACACACACACACAGTGGGTCTTTCTATCTTCATGAGGTCTTTGCATTGACTTTCATCCAAAGTAACCAGTCTGCTGGACCTTCCAGGACGTTCCAGGTCCTCCAGGTGAGCCCCTGTGATGAATCAGTGAGTAGTAGAAGAAGAAGAATGATCTTACTTGTTGAAGAGGACGCACCAGCCGCAGTGCGGGTCTCCTGATCCCAGACAGTCGGAGCAGCTGCTGTACTGCTGGCAGCTCTCCACCGGCAGCCTGGTCACCTGGAGACAGAACCAGAACTAGCAATAGCATTCAGGATGGACTCTGTTATGGCTGTAAGGTCCGGTTTGTCACAGCGAGCAGAACCTCTGGACCCGGCCATTGGTTCTGGGGGATCAGAACCGGGCCTTACCTGTCGGTTGCTCAGCAGGTAGATGCTGCGGTGGTCCGGACTGAACACCATGTCCCTCAGGATGGGCTGGCCCTCCGCCACCGCCACCGTCTCGTATAGCAAGGCGTTCTGGGCCGGAGGCGGCACGCCGTCCACTCGGATCTGAAACACAGGAGCAGAACCGTGAGCCCGACCGAACAACAAAACACATGATGAAGGAAACAGAACCAGATCAGAACTGGGTCCAGATTCTCCACAGACCCATTTCTTTGGGTACCAGAACCTTTCAACAGAAAAAGACTGGATCCAGTTCCAGAGTCGGCCCGACGACTTCATCTTCATCATCACCATCATCTTCATCACCACTATCATCTTCATCATCACCATCACCAATATCATCATCACCATCATCATCAACATCATCATCATCACCACTATCATCATCACCATCATCATCATCACCACTATCATCTTCATCATCACCATCACCAATATCATCATCACCATCATCATCAACATCATCATCATCACCACTATCATCATCACCATCATCTTCATCACCACTATCATCTTCATCATCACATCACCACTATCATCATCATCACCACTATAATCATCATCATCATCTTCATCACCACTATCATCACCACTATCATCTTCATCATCATCATCACCATCACCACTATCATCATCAACATCATCACCATCACCACTATCATCATCACCATCATCATCACCACCATCATCATCATCACATCACCATCACCAATATCATCATCATCATCACCACTATCATCATCAACATCATCAACATCAGCACCACTATCATCATCAACATCATCAACATCAGCACCACTATCATCATCATCATCATCACATCACCACTATCATCATCATCATCACCACTATCATCATCACCATCATCTTCATCACCACTATCATCTTCATCATCACATCACCACTATCATCATCATCACCACTATAATCATCATCATCATCTTCATCACCACTATCATCACCACTATCATCTTCATCATCATCACCACATTCACTATCATCACCATATCATCATCACCATCATCATCACCATCATCATCATCATCACACACATCACCAATCATCATCATCATCACCACTATCATCATCAACATCATCAACATCAGCACCACTATCATCATCAACATCATCAACATCAGCACCACTATCATCATCACCACTATCATCATCATCACCACTATCATCATCATCACTATCATCATCATCACCACTATCATCATCATCATCACCACCACTATCATCATCACCACTATCATCATCACCACTATCATCATCATCACCACTATCATCATCATCATCACCACTATCATCATCAACATCATCAACATCAGCACCACTATCATCATCAACATCATCAACATCAGCACCACTATCATCATCATCATCACTATCATCATCATCATCACCACTATCATCATCATCATCATCACCACCACTATCATCATCACCACTATCATCATCATCACCACTATCATCATCATCACTATCATCATCATCACCACTATCATCATCATCATCACCACCACTATCATCATCACCACTATCATCATCACCACTATCATCATCATCATCATCACCATCATCATCAACATCATCATCATCACCACCATCATCACCATCACTATCACCAATATCATCATCATCATCATCACCACTATCTTCATCATCATCATCACCATCACCAATATCATCATCACCATCATCAACATCATCATCACCACCACTATCATCATCACCACTATCATCATCATCATCATCACTATCATCATCATCATCATCACCATCATCATCAACATCACCACCATCATCACCATCACTATCACCAATATCATCATCATCATCATCACCACTATCTTCATCATCATCATCACCATCACCAATATCATCATCACCATCATCATCAACATCATCATCATCACCAATATCATCATCACCATCATCATCAACATCAGCACCACTATCATCATCATCATCACTATCATCATCATCACCACTATATCATCATCATCATCATCATCATCACCACTATCATCATCATCATCACTATCATCATCATCAGCAGCACCACTATCATCTTCATCACCACCATCATAATCATCATCACCATCACATCATCATCTCCATCACCAATATCATCATCACCATCATCATCATCACCAATATCATCATCACCATCATCATCAACATCAGCACCACTATCATCATCCATCATCATCATCATCACTATCATCATCATCATCACCACTATCATCATCATCATCATCATCATCATCACCACTATCATCATCATCATCATCACCACTATCATCATCATCATCACTATCATCATCATCATCATCACCACTATCATCATCATCATCATCATCATCATCACCACTATCATCATCATCATCACCACTATCATCATCATCATCACTATCATCATCATCAGCACCACTATCATCTTCATCACCACCATCATAATCTTCATCATCACCATCACATCATCATCTTCATCACCACTATCATCACCACCATCACCATCATCATCATCACCAGGAGGAACTGCAGGAGGAGGGATGCTGAATACAGCAGGAATATGTGGAGCAACTAAAATGAGACCCAAATCCTCCCCTCCCCCTGACCCAGAAAAACACCATCGAGGAAGAGGAAGAAGAAATGGGCAACAAATAAATGGAAGGAAAAAAAGAGAAAAAAATAGAATAAAATACTGAGGAAGAAAAAATGCAATAGAAAGAAAGAGAACAAACGGTGTAAGAAGGGAAAGTCAGACAAGGGATGAAGGACGAGTGTGTAGTTAATTAGCTGTCTGCTCGTTAAGCAGCCCGGCTTAATTAGAGCTGACGAGTTACACACACACACGCGCACACACACGCATGCACACCCACACACACACACACACACACACACACACAAAGAGTCGGAGCAGCAGGGAGGAAACGATAAAGTAGGACACTGCAGCAAGAGAGACGGCAGCAACACAGTTAGAAGGTTCTGGAAAAAGCTTCCAATCCCGACCGGGCCGGACTGCCTGGTTGAACCGGACCAGAGATGTGAAGACGGACGGGATGAGAGTAAAAGCAGAAGATGAAGAAGAACTCAGTGATGCAGAAGTACAGGAAGTGACCTTTGAGCTTTGACCCCTTGGCTGGCATTCTAACCATCAGCACCTGCTTTGTTCCCGACACACTAGGCCCTTCTCTTACACATGACCTCTGACCTCGCAGCCACAGATAAAGAGCACAGCTGTTGGAAAGCTGTCGGTCCTCATGATCACTTCCTGTGTTCCTACTTTACCCACCATGTGAGGACCGGACCTCCAGAACTTCCAGAACCAACAGAACCATTAGAACCTCCAGAACCAACAGAAACATGTCGGGGTCATGTGAGCTGAACGGTCAGAGCCCTCTTGATTAGCATTAGCATCCTGCAGCAGCTGTTTGCACCTGAAACATGGCTCAAACAATCCGTCACTGGGTCGGTTCTGAGGACTTTTTGAAGGAACAATTTGTTTTTTTCTTGAATCAACCTACCCCACCTGTTCCAGAATCAGAACCGCTACTGTAAACACTTCAGTTTCACTTCCATAAAGCTGTCACAGGTTCTGCTGGAGTTAAACAAGCTTTTTAATGGCAAGTTTATTCTGCTCAGCTGGTCACATTCTGCTGGAAACATGACACTGTGCGCGCGCGCACACACACACACACACACACACACACACACACACACACACACACACACACACACACACACACACACACATTCCTGTGTAACGTAATACCTCTGAGTGTGTGTAGGGGCTGGCAAGGGGGGGGGAACAGGGAGGTCTGGTAGTTGGAGTAAAGCTGCAACTCATTTCAGAAAAACTGACTCTAGAACTGATCATACCTGGCCTCTGTATGTGTGTGTGTGTGTGTGTGTGTGTGTGTGTGTGTGTGTGTGTGTGTGTGTGTGTGTGTGTGTGTGTGTGTGTGGTTGGGTGGGTGCTTTCAGTTGATAATACACAGATTCAGTCTTGTACTGACTGGACTACAGCAGATCCATTGAATGAGACATTTATATAGATTTATTTTTGGTATTTCCCCAAAAAAATATTGTTTTCTGCAATTTTTTAAAAGTTGTTTCCAAAGATTTTATTTGTCTGTAATTGAGGTTGATGTATCAGAGACTAAATCTGGGCCAGAAGGCCATTAAAGATAGAAAAACGACAGCAAAACACAGAAACTACAATAAGCTAATTCTATGGTATCTTCTGAAGTTGCTCCAAATAGGATGTTTTCCTTCTGATGGTCCAGTCGACCCGGTTCTACTGGAACCAGAACATCTGCTTCACCTCCAGCTGCTGTGATTCTGAGTCAAATCAGCCTGCACCACTGCAGGAAACGACACTAAAACCTCTGAAGACACTGAGAGCAACTTCCTGCTTCACCAGATGAAACAAGATGGAGGCGTCAGAGTTTAGTGATTTCTCCTTAGTCTTTGGCTGAAGACCAGGAGCCATTTCTGCTGCTAGTGCTAGGCTAGCATGTTAGCTTTGGTTACCCAGAATGCCCTACGCTGTAGTCCACTTCCTGCTTTTGGAGCGGTCTCTGGTTTGCTTGGCGTTGGAGGACCAGAGGTCAGAGGTCAATTAGCATTCACACCTCAACAACCAGATCGGATTTTATAAGCACATGAACCGAAGTCGGGTTAAAGTGGACAGGACAGAGCTGGTGGCAATGATGCTGCCTCAGTTTCCATCCAGAGGTCTGACATGGACAAAAGACTGACTCAGACTTTCTGCCTCTGAAGTTTTCTCTCATTTTGTATCATGATTTTTTTTAAAGGAGCAGCACCAGGCCGCTTTTCCAGGCACATAGTCCCATTTTATATCTCCTGCACAATCATTTTTACCTTCAGTTGTTATGAAATCTTTTGTATATCAAATATGACTTTGAATAAAATTGACTTCCAGATGTAACGCCTTGAAATTGGGTCTGTCTCTTTAAGAACTGCTCTCTCTAAAGCTCCGCCTCCAGGAAGTCATCCCAACATGAATCCTCTATTAACCCTTTAACATCTTTACCAGTGTTGCTCTGAGCAGCAGATTCTATGATGGGCTCAGC